ATAAATAGCATTTGCATTTTCTGTTGTACAGTTCATTTACTGTTATGGATAAAAAGTCTTTTTTTTGTTTCAAAATACCTGATAACTATTCGCTGATAGCTGCCAACATCTGCGACAAAATATAATTGTATAAAGTTGTTCTATATAGTGTGTAACTGTTAATATAGAGCGTTATTAAATTTATTGCTAATGCAATCATATGGCACACTGACTTCTGAGGGAATTTTAGATGGTACTCATCATCAGAAAGGTTGCCTACCCCTGTTCTAACACATGGACCGAGCAGTTGACAGAAAGAAACCAACCTGGAGATCGCTTTGACTCATCCGGAAGGGACATCTTTATTGCGCTCTTCAGCTTCCCGATCTTCTGACTGTCCACGTTGTTTTCCTTGAGAACACCCAGGAAGTACCTCAAGTAGTTGTTCTTTGTTTTCTGCTCACAAGAACAAAGGGAAAGAAGGAAATGCGCATAAAGAACAAGCTTAACAGCAAAAAACAGAAACCAAAATCAAAAAATGTAAATGTTTGCGGTCATGTATTACTCACAGTGTTGAAGTGATCATAGAAGGTTGAAGACATATACAGCGGCAGCATCCCGAGGTCTTTCAGAGTTTGCTCAGTCCACACTGAAGGAGCTCTGGTTATCACGAAAACAGAACGGTGATTATTATTATGAAGGACAGAAAGGGCCAAATGTAAAAATGTAAACCTGCTGACAAGGAAACAAACAAACAGGAATGAAAATCTGCCACAGCGGTGAAGCGTTTTGCGTACCCATATCTTGTGTTGCCATTAGTTATTCGAGCCTGAACAGCAGCTGCTTGAGCAGAAGTGAGGCTGGGGCAGCTTTTGAGATTTTCCAAGATGGATGAATCTGAGTTTAGGATGTAGGACGCATCCAGGATGCAGCACATGTTTCCCAATACTGATATTTCATCTTTAGTTAAGCTTGTGTTTGTTATGCCCTTTGAAAATAAAAGAAACAGAAATTCATTTCAACTCAAAATATTAAACAAAACCTTGGTGTGATGACAGTTATTTCCATTTCATGCAATTATTAATACAACTAATCTTTAGAGCTCAAGAAGTGATGTGTGGTTCGAGGACTCACCAAGCAGCTCTTTGCGTTTTCAAACAGGGCAGTGCGCTTGTAGCTGAGCGCTGCAGAGAAGACAGAGAAGTCTGCATTTCCCAACTCTGTGAAATAGGCCCTGCAGCTGGCCTGCGGCACCAGTGAGTAACTGCAAGAGGAAACACAAGTGTGACAAGCTGTAGCATCCACCATTCAGCTTTAATTCAGAACAAACAGACAGGATTCTTACTCATAATACAGCAGCACATCTGGAGGGTAGAGGTTGAAGTTGGCAGCATCGTCTTTAATGTAAGTGTACATGCAGGTCAGCTGTTGATTAAAAAAAAAAGGCAAAATAATTAGCACCTTGTATCGTCCCCGTTTATGACGGAGAACATGTGTAAGAAAGCTCCATGACTTGTTGGATGGTAACGCATTTTTGTAATTTGCTTTCACCAAAGCTGGAAGTCTGCACTTTAATCCACTGTGGTGGTGTGCAGCTGCAACATGCAAAAATTGCATCTTTGTTCAAACATTTATTACCCTAACTCTATGTGCCAGAGTTATATACGGTGTAATCTATATAACCCAATTCACAGGGTATGTATATATTGTTTTAAGTGTGTTTTAAACAATTGTTAGTTTCTCCTTTGATGTCCAATATGTTCACTTTTTAATATTTGAGCAGATATGAAGGAGATTTTAAATATCCCATAAATGCCTTGAATACTGTACCTGAGACTCCACTAGTTTAACCTTCCTGCTGCCTGACCTCCGACAGGCTTTGATCAGGTTCTTGACTTGCTCATTGCCAATGTTCCTCGCTCCAGTGCATGTGAACCCTTGAAGCACAGAGGATGACAAACTACACACACACATATACACTGTTAGCTCTACTCAAACCCATTTGCAGCTTGTTTTGATTGATTTGATTGATCTCCCAGACTGATTTGAACTCACTTGTTTGGACCTCCCAGCTGTGCAGAGGCGCTCTCTGTAGCTACCGACTCAAAGAACAATTCAGCCTAACAAAACAAACAAACAAAAAGAGTCTGTAATAACAGGCATGTAGCACAACACGACAATAAAAACTAAGCTGAGGGTTTCATCTTCTACCTGCTGCGGTTTCCATTCCTTTCTGTTGAGTATGGTTATAACGTCGTTGCTACTGGAGAAGCCCACCAGCAGGGATCGAGGGATCTCAGTGGCCAGGTCATTGGGAACGTTCTGGATCACTTGCACGCTGCTGGGGTTCACTGATATGATCTGAGAGAAGATGGGAAGCATTGTGAGTTAACTCTCTGTGGAAAGCTTTCTATCTTTATCCAAAGCAGCTGATGGAAGTGTGCAGTTCAAATCATGCTCAAGTTATAAAAGAAAACCTGTCATACCTGACTGACAAAGACCTGCTGGATGATCTGAGGACCAGAAAGGAGGTTTGCCACCAGTGAAGGAGTTTGGGAGGCACTTATCAGCTGATTACCAGAGATGCTCAAGAACACTCTGGAAGGTACACCAATGATGAGAGTGCCCAGACTTATCAGCGATGATGAGCTGTTGATCTGGTGGAAAGGATGGAAGCAGCACACGCATAAGTGAACATGACCACAAAGATGACTTTGATTTTTCTAAAGTCAGGATTCAGTCTAAAATCTGCAACCTGTATGATGCCCGAAGACAGCAGAGACTGGATGATGGTCATGGCCTGGCCTTCGCTCCAGCCCGTCACAGTGGAGAGAGTGCCGATGGAGTTTATTAAGTCCTGGGGTTTGATTGAGCTGATCTGATTCAGCGACATGCCAGTGCTTTGGCTGCCGAGGGCAGAAATGACTGTGGAGTCAATGTTCTGACCAAAGTTACCTGCCAAAGCAGCTGTGACCTTCACATGTGAGAGAGAATAGTTCAAGCATTGTTTGCTTCACTATGCCAATAAAATAATTTTATAGATTTCATACAACTCCTCACACTGTGGCTGGAAAACCTCATGGAAACTGTTTGGAAGTGAAAACATGCAAAAGCTGGACTAAAGATTAATGTCACTGCAGTGAGTGAGTGAGTTTTTAGCAATGGATGGTATTAATCTGTCAAGCCGTTGAGCTCTCACAGATACAGTATTTTTTAGATCAGTGTTGGTGCTGGAATCTGATGCTAGTCTGATCCTATTCATTTCATCTTAAAGGAATCTTTCCTGTAATTCCTCTAGTTGTTTAGTACATGAATGCATAGGGAGAGCAAACAATAGCATTAGCTGTTTAAGCTAAGCTAACAGCCTCCAGCTGCAGATATGCAAGTTGGATCAATCCTTCAATGTTGTTTTACTTAAATTACTGAGTGATGTAGAATTACTCTCCCACTATGTGCATATTAAAATTTATGCCAACGTGCACAATACTGAAATAACACTAAGACTTAAAAACATTGCTATAGCACCACAGTGCCACAGCTGGTGGTGCAGTGATAGAAAGAAGAAGGAGATGTTTGGTTTTAGTTATTAAACTTCTGTTGGTGTGCCAATATTTTTTTTTTAAAGTGAGCACCACACGTTGAAAACCCTGGCGAAGTAAAGGTGATTCCTCTTCTGTGGATGGTTGCATGTTTACTGGTGTCCCTATGTTTTCTTTTTTTTGTCACAGCTGTGGCATCATACCAGTGGGCCAGCATGTTTAAACTAGCTGCTAAAAATAAACCAAGCGTAATTACGAGAAACTGACTGAAAAATACACAAAGGCTGGATGCACATGTGCAGATACTTGCTTTTAAACTGAGGTCCAAGCTCTTGTTTGGGATACATTTTTAATTGATCCTAGCTGTTTTGAATCTGTCGGACCTGATAAATGTAAAAATGACAATTTCATCTTTTGAAAAGTATGTCCAAAAACTGAAATATGATATCTGCTGCCACATGTCCTGATATGGTGACAAAATATGACCTTACATGGGATAGTCCTGAAAATGAATGAATGGATCTTTGAAGGTTAAAAAAAAAAAGAAAATAAAAAGGATATGAGTAAATAAATCTGACCATCGCTGCTGTCATTTCCAGCTTTGTTTTAGGCTGCTGCCTCATCCCATTCTGTGTGGACCGCCTGAAGGATGCCAAGCACACCTGTCCTATCTGCAAGACTGTACTTGGGGTGTATAAACGCTTATAACTCAAAGACCTGCATCAATTTATACATGGCTTTTTGCAAACAAAACACAGTTACAAAAGGTCACACTAATGAACATTTCCTTATAATTGAATAACTGATAATCTCGTGACTAATTTGCTGTTGGTGTACAAATGAAATTAGGCGACCTTTTTAACAATTTCTCTCTCAAAACCTTTGAATATTAAAACACTGACACCAAATAACGAGCTCCAATGACTGTTTTAAGGCTGTTTAAAATGTGTTTATTATTGATCTCTCAAATACATTTTCATAGTAAGACTGAATAAAGAAAGAGCTATCATGAAAACTGTTACCCGTCACCCGAACCTGTCATTTTTCTGTTGAGTCCTCATCCTTTTAAATATCTTAATTTAAATGGAACAATAAAAAAAATAGAAAACAAATAAAGCAAAAATATGACCTTAGAAATAGTTCATGAAAAGGTTTCAGGAAGATTTAGTAATCAAAAATACATCATTTACAATTTGTCTTATTGCACCTGCACTATTTTGTTCATAGCGAGCGTTACAAGGAACGAAGCAAATGCCCTTCTGTTTAACATTATTTCCTTCTATTAATGATAAATTAAAACAAAAAAATTATTTCAAGCCTTTATCCAGTTATCTACCATTTTATAATTCATATTCCAATAATCTTCCATGAGAAAAGTTGTCTTTACATTACAACATACTGAGAAGTGATGAGGAGTACAAGAAGAGCGAAGAAAGAGAAGCCAGCGTCTCGGACTGGAGGAGCATTGCCTGGAAAGAAACGTACAGTCACATTAGAGACCAATAAAACGTTTTGCCCTTGATTTAATTTCTTTATCTGAATTATTTGTGGAACACTAGCATATCAACCACACAAAAGCCTCAACAAGTGGGCTTTTTAGAAAACTCTGACACTGCTCGATTAATCACTGCCAGTTCTTTTTAAGCATCTTTTATAATTTATTTATTTATATGGTCCAATTCTGTCTAAAGGTAGAACAATATTTTGCATAGTATGCAAAACAACTGTCCATCATTAAAAATATATAAAGAAAATTTTACTATGATACACCAAATCTCTGTCTGTCTGCAAATTCCTACATGATCAGGAGTTGAGTAGCTAAAATGGGCACACAGGCACAACTCAGACCCTTTAAGGTTCTTATCTACATCAGGTCTTTTGTTGTCATCATGTTGCCTAGCAGCCACATACCGATGGTTCTTAGTGTTTGTGCACCTATAACACCATTTAAAAATGTATCATTTTCATTTCACAACAGTGGTATGTAGTCAACCAAATATTTAATATCTTCATTTTTCATATCAAGTTGTGATCTTTACACTATCAATATGTCAAGTTTGCTGTATTCAGAGCTGTAGTGCGCGCTTGTACTAGTTTTTCCGACTTGGGATTTATTTTTTTTATAATATGAAAATATTAAGTATTTACTGTATTTCATGCTGCCATCATTAATCACACTGCAGATCTCGCAAGTAAAAACCAAGTTCCCTTTCAACACCAATGTGTTTTTTGTTTTGTTTTTTTTTTCTTGTCAGTGCTTCTGATGTAAGATGATCTTTACATACTTGTAACAAAACAGCAGGATATGAGACAAAATGTTTAAAATGAGCAATTAAAAGATTAATCTGCAGCAGAAGGTCCACCGCTAGCTTAACATTTCATGTTTTCATGCTTTATTTTGGTTTCCTTTACTTCTTGTAACACAAATCCCTTCCTGCCCACACTCTTCCTGCACAAGAATGCTCTATGTGCAGACAGTGTGCTATATTAAATGTTGAAATGTGGTACTGCTGCTTTATCTGAGGTGTTGTTCTTTGAATGTTTTAACCCAATGCTACCTTTTGTAATACTTACCCGTGGTGCTGTTGGATCCAGTTGTTGATTTTGTTGTTGAAGTTGTCCCCGATGTTGTTGTTGAAGTTGTCCCGATGTTGTTGTTGAAGTTGTCCCTGATGTTGTTGTTGATGATGTACCCGGTGTAGTGGTGGTGGGGCTAACCTTGCCTCCTGTAAGCCCCACTCCCAGGCCATTAAGTTCAGACTGAAACTGTGAACGGATCCAGGTTTGCACCACTGTCACATTTTCATATGACTTCAAAAGTGGGAGGTTGGTGCCAAGAAGACCTTTAACATCACTAACAGTCAGGTTCTATGGAGAACAGAGCAGACACATTTTATCCTATGAGCAAATAAACACACTTACTTTATTCTTTGACCGAACCAAAAAACAATTTAGTTTTACAACTTATCAGGCCCGTCTAATGGTTTGAGTGAAGTAAATAAATTGAGGAACTATGATGCAAGACCCCCACCCCAAAATAAATAAAAAAAAATAAAAACCTTTTTTCAAAATTAGTCTAAAATTCAGAATTCAAAGTGCAGACATGCAGCACTGACCTGTATAACACTCTCAAGCAGCCCAGTGAAGATCGGGACGTCCATACTGATATTGGCAGACACTAAGTCTTGGATAAACCTAAAATCTGCACCCGCTGCAAGAATGGAAAAAATTAATAAAAATTAAATTAATTAAATGAAAGTTACGTTAACTTTCAGCTGTTTAAATGATGTTTTTTGTGAATGTGGGTCTGTTTGCTTACGTAGGTAAGATTGTATGAGCTGGTAACTGGTAGTGGAGATAGTGCTTGAGCGGGTGATTGGGATAAATGCTTCATATGCGAGGGAAAACAGTTCTTGCTTTTTCTCAGTGGTGCAGCTGGATATGTCCAGAGCATCGGCGTTCCTGCAGGAGATAAAACACACAGGAACGGTGTGTTGAGTTTATGGAATTCATATAACATTATTTATCATTAAATCAGACTTTTTTTTCTAGTTATCTAAATAATAATTTAGAGATTTATGTGGGTTCACCTGCCTTTGTAAGTACAGGATCCCTGACAGACCTTTAGCCAACATGTTCTTGTTCAGATATTACCTGCTGCTAATGTGATGTAAAAATAACCTCCAAACACACACACA